AGACAGATGTCTGGTATCCCACTGGAGGTCTAAGCAATAGACAGGTCTCTCACCTCAGAGGTGTAAACAAAAAGAACCTCATTGTCTAAGGGTTATCCGTCTGATTGGTATGCAGCCATGGAGCGAGGTTCCAGGACAGTTTCTGACATCAAGCCAGAGTCCACCCACAAGAAGCATAACCAACTAAGGTCTGACTAAGGAGCATCTATCGTAAGCCAAGGTATCGTCCAGTATCTCACTGGAGGTCTAGGCCAAAGGGCCTCATTGTCTAAGGGTTATCTGTCTAATGTGTATGCAGCTGAGGAGTGAGGTTCAAGGAGGGTTTCTGACATCAAGTCGGAGTCCACCCACAAGGAGCATAACCAACTAAGGTCCGACTAAGGAGCATCCATTGCGAGCCAAGGTATCATCTAGTATCCTACTGGAGGTCTAGGCCAAAGGGCCTTGTTATCAAGGATTATTTGTCTAATGTGTATGCGGCTGAGGAGTGAGGTTCAAGGAGGGTTACCGACATCAAGCTGGCCAAGGTAATTGTCTGGTATCCCACCGGAGGTCTAAACAAGTTGCCGACATCAAGCCGGCCTAGATAATCGTCCGGTATCCTGCCGGAGGTCTAAACAAAGTACCGATATCAAGCCGGCCAAGGTAATCGTCCGGTATCCCACTGAAGATCTAAACAAAGTGCCAACATCAAGCTGGCCAAGGTAATCGTCCGGTATCCTACTGGAGGTCTAAACAAGGTTCAAAGAGGGTTAGCAGTAAACTGAGAAGGCCCTATGGTTCGTTGTCGAATGCAATATTGTTAAGTGATTCATAAGAGTCGGAGGGTTAAAGATCCTAAAGTCTACTGGGTTCAGGAGGGAAACTACTATCAAGATAGCTAACCAAGTACAGGCCAGTATGATAGAAGACCACAGGCGCAAAGGTTCAGGCGGGAGAACTATCATCGAGATAGTTAACCAAGGATGGATGGACACAAGGGAAGGCCAAAGGTATATTAATCAAAGATAGCGAGCCATACTGCAGGCTCCCTACTGGTAGTCAAGCTAAAACTAGCAAAGCATAAGCATGAAAAGATAAAAAGTAACGATGTGTTAATGTCACTCTCTTTTGTAGTCTGAAACATGGAGTGGTAAACAATCTGAAGGTTACTTCAAAATAAATATGAGAGCAAGGAGTGGACGTAATTCCTAAGTATATATAAAGGTAGGAGATTATCAGATTGCATAAAGAAAGTAAAATATCAAAGGGCACACCCCATAGATATATTCAAAGAAATCTCTCAATCTAATGGCGCTCCTCTAAAGCGCAAAACATAACAACACTATAGGAAATCCTCTGATCTATAACGTACGTCCTTTCTGTACGTTCCAAAATACTAAGGAGATCCTTTACTATATTAGGCCATGCGCAGTTCTTATTTCTTGCTATGTGGAGTCGCCATACACTATTCCAACTTGCTGCGTATGGCTAATCAGGGCCGTCTTACCATACCTATTCCTTCAGGAACACAAATCCTGAGAACTGTGGGGAGCTCCTCCAGGTACGAAATGCGAGACTAGAGTGAAGAATATTTGGTGGCCGTGACACATATCTTGCTACCCCACATACTAGGCCTTTACTCCTTAACCTACTTGTCTCAATCTAAGGATTCAATCTTGAGCAATTGCTAAATGCTAGTAGTAGGACTCCTGGAAATCTCACTGTTATTAGACATCCAGCTAAATGAAGGGAAACTAAAAAATAGTTCCTACTATAATTCTGGAAACTGTAAATCCAAGTCGGAATGTGTAGTTCTATTATAGCAACTGTGGAAGTAGTGATTGTAACTGAAACTAAAGTAAGAATTAGTTACTTTCTAGCACAGTAATGGGTCAGAATGATAAGGAAAACCTATTTTGAGCCCCCAAGCCAAAGTCTCTCAAACAACCTCCAAAGGTCAAAGAACAACAAGAAACAAAAGAAATCCTCCTCTGGAAACCTATATCCTCTACCATCTTCTATTGTATACCAGCTACTTCCACCTCCTTTCTTACCTCTTTCAAAGTCAAACTCTACCTAAGCCTGGCCTGGAACACCTACTTCAAGCTATCATAAGATTGGCTCTAAGGATCCCCATTGGCTAAAACCCCAAATATGATGAGTCACAAGGTGTGGGGGGTTGGTTGTGGTACCAATAGAGGCTGAGGTTCTTGTATTTATGGCTGGGGACAGGTAACAGGACCGAATTCCTGATTTGTTAGCCCTGATTTTCCCGTACAGGGGGCGGTTAGCCGAGATAGGAATGTAGAAGTACGAGTACTTGTAGAAGCACATCAACAAAATTACGTGGCGCTTCTTAAGTGCAGCTCAGGGCTGTAGTTGAACACCTGTATGCACCTGACCCCCCGGTGAATGACTGGACCCATGAACTAGACTGCAGGACTAGCGTATCTCGATAAATTGAGTACCGCCTTGTCAAGGCTTCATCGTCCCAGTTGAGCGGATTCAGGGAAGATCGTAGATTAGCAATGGTTTGGGGCCCCATAACCTCAGTTAACGCGATTTTCCTATCCCTTTTAGTTGACTACTAGGCTTTTGTTTTAAAAACGGAGATTAGAACCTTGCACAGAGATTCAATACTTTATTTGTCGAGTTGATACTATATAGGTATCTTGAGAGCTGGTCATTTCCTCGTGCAAATTGTGGAGATTCCTAGACAGTACTGGGTGCCGCGTACTTGTACAGGTACGAGTACATTTCTTATCATACTTGCATCCTTTGGGAACCTGCCATAACAGACCTTTGAGCCCTTGGCTTGAGCTCGGGAGGGGGGGGGGCTTGATTCATCGAGGGGCGGGGATTGTGGTGAGGATCTACCTCCTGAGCTTGAGGCTATTTGGGAAAAGAGTAGTAGTTAGAAAAGTTGGAAGAACGCTCTCAGTGTTGACACAATGAATTGGTTTACATTTCAGTTTGGAAAACATTATGATACTATTAATGATAAAGAAAAGTAGATTCCAAATCAGATATCCTCCCAAAATTCGAAAACTAATGCCACCACCGCCTCCATGACCACCACCAACCACCCGGCAACCACGGTCGAGCCATCGAGCCACCCTAACTTCACCTGGAAACCAAATGTCCGTTCATCCCGTGCACAGCCTTACTGACCTACTAGTTTGTTAGCGGAGGGTTACAGAGAATGAAAACAGAACGCAAACCTAAGGAATCGGCGCCAAGAGCGTGACACCTGCACATGTAGCGGAGCATGTACCAAAGGCGGAATTACACGCTAGGACAGCGGGAACGGCAGCCGCTACGGCTCCAGGAACTGTTCCGAACACAAAGCCGGCGCCTGAGTAGCACGCAACCACAACGACAGCACAGCCACTCTGACAGATACCGTAGGAAATCGGGCCAGCGAGTGCGAAGGTGGCGAAAGAGACGGGGAGGAGGAGGTTTTGGAGCTTCATATTTTGGGGAATTGAGTGCTTAGAGGTCTCGATTGGGTGTTTGTGTGTGTGTGTGTGTGTATGCCAGGGTTTTTATGTGTAGTAGGAGGTATGGTGAAATGGGTGTTTTGAGAATACAATGAGTTGAAGGTACCCAGGAAGATAGTTGGGATTATATACTGGTAGAACTTAGCGCACTGACATCGTTATCGCTAAAGTCTCCTTGGCCAAAAGGGGCGCCCAACCCCCCCCACATGGGTTGTTCTAATCTCACTGACACATGTGGTGCGTGGTCTAAGGCTGCAATGGGCCGTTGGAAACGGGAGGCCTAAAACCCGTGTCGCGTGTGACAGAGCGATAGCCAACGACACAAGTAGCGTTGTTCGCACTTCGTGAGAATTTGTGCCATGTCATAAGCCTCTAGACCAATGTGCTGGGGTAGAATGCGTTATAAAATAAGACGACGGAAAAAGGAAAAAAGGGGGGAGGAGGAACGCGAGAGGGTGAAGCAATATCTAGGATGAATTTCGATGTTGGAGAGCTTTGAAGGAGAAGTTTTATCTCCTAGAGGAGTAATGGTAGAATCCATGATTATCCATTCTTCGGACTTGGATTGTGCCATCGGTTGATCTCACTACTCGTACTCGAGTACGCTCTGGCACAGGGCACTTTAAGCGGCCAATAACGCTAGACGCGCGATTTTTACCTGGAGGGCTAGTTGATCCATTCGTGTGGGGAGAAACCATTCGGGTGCTGGGACCTGCGCTCCAATAGGACGGGGCAGGTTGGTGCCAAAGTTGCATCGTACCTCAATAGCTTCTGGTATGAATTGACGAGCTTTGGTACTGTCTTGGGGTTGAGGATTTATCGTAAGTTTACTCTCTTCATCTGGGTATGTAGGCCTTTGCGGGGGCATTTGGCGACTACGGTAGGCCACCAAGCCTACACTGCTCTGCATAGTCGGGCGATTGCGTCCAGGAACTTACTTGAGCACCGATAGTACTGTACAGTACGAGTACCTCGGGTTGCTGCGCACTTGTGGGTTGTTTATCGTACATCCGGGGGAGCAAGGGTGAGCGCTTTGACACGTGCTCGAGGGGGGCGGGTGCAGGGTGCCTCTGGCTGCCTGCATCGGCGCTCCCGCAAGATCGACCCACAGTCGCAACTGCAGACCGGTACGGAACCTCCTGGTCTGCTGAGAAGGTGCAAAATTTTGTGCCGCCCCTATCAATATCGAAGATAAAAATGACTAATACATCCACTCTGTATTTTCGGGTGATGGTAGGTGTAGGTACTATCATGTAGATAATATTAGCTATGGTCTGAGGTTTGCGCGTCTGCGAATATACCAGTATAGTAACTAACAAAATTTGCTTATTAACTTGTGTCTCAGACATTGGTGGCATACAAGTGCCAGGGATAATGTTTTCGCACAGGTAATTTAGGTTAACCCGCAAAATAATCCCTGTCTTCAAGTTGTACATGTATGAAATCATCTCCCCCGGCACTTGTAAAAATTTCCACCGTCTCAACAGTCCGGGAGATACTGCCTTAACTGGCAAGTAAGCAGCGGCTGGGGTACGACTGTCTTAAGGCCTCAGGATTCTGGTGTACGGTAGAATGAGAAGAGTGGACCAATAAAAGCAAAGGGTTGGCAAATGAACATCATGTATATGCTTATGGTATGTTGTTTAACTGCTATAAGCTTCTATTTAATAGATTTAATCCAGGGAGATGTTCTACCATATTATGCTTCTTTATGCTTCTTTATTTTAAGTTATACTATGTTGTCTTATATTATAAATTCCACTAGGATTACAACTAATAACTAGCTCCTTCAAGAACTTGAATCTTATACAAATTCTAGTATACTAGTAAGCTTACTCTACAAGTATCAGGAAAGATGTTTTTGTACAAGGGTTGCCAAGGAGCTATTAGGATGTTGGTGGAAAGCAAAAAATAACTGAACAGCAAGATACTGTCATGGTACAATAGTAGCATTGTGACCTTAGAGACATCAACCAGCCTGCAACACCTCTATTTTATTAGAAAAAAATCAGGTTTTTGTCAGACAAAAACAAGAAGGCTCCTCTATTGTATTAAATATAAAAGAAAGAATATTCTTATAAAAAGTAGAAGAAAAAACTGAAAATAGTATCATGGTACCTACTTCTCCCCATCTTCTACTTTATTAGGCAGGAGTTCAGTTTTTGCCCTCTTCTCCTATGTCTTCCCCTAGTCCAAGTCTTTTAAGTTCCGGAATTCTCTCTTCTGACTTTTCCAGTCCTGTAACAAGTACAGCTATCGATATACCCACTTTTTTTTTTTTCCTAGTTGTATTGCAATCACAGCTTTTCTTCATTCCAAAATCCATTCCTTGCACCAGTATGCTACCTGGTCTTTTCGTTGTATTGCACATGAGATTAGCATCACAATAAATACTGTTTTCTCTATCTGCAGCTTTCCTATTAACGTAAACTACCGTGATATGACACAGGTCCGTGAACTGACACACGGGTTTCACCGGGGCTCCCAG